CAACAGTCACAGGCCAGTGTTGGTCTTCTAAGTTTCACGTGGTTCAGCAAAGCAGCATGTACTAGCAACGAATAGTTTAATCTAGCATATCACTTGAGTTGTTCACGGTCTCAACATTATTGTACCCACAAATCAGTCCACTACCTCAAATCAACTTTCGACGCAGTCATACTAACTAGCAATAGGTCTTAGGGACGAGTTCATTTCAACAAGGCGTCCCTCTGCAAACGACTGTGGGAAGGCTTAACTTTGTTTGATTGGTGTATTTCTGTATACCAATCAGCCAGTAATGGCATTTATCCATCCACACATCTAAACAAATGCAAGTTCATAGATTATCCGGAGGTTTTTTTAGTTGGTGAAATCGTGGAAAACATCCTGATAATCCACTCACTCATTCAAAGGATATGTCTGTGAATCGACTTCAGAAAGTACAGAAAACTTACAAAACACTTCAGTAAACCACTTCCACAGTAGTTGTTCTTAAATGTATTTCAGAACGTAATTCAGAGTGAACACCAGTTAATTAGGCAGTAAATATTTTGTGATGAGTTTGTTTGTAGGTATTAGGTATTTGTGTTATATTTGATCACAGACTGACATCAGTTAGAGGAGCACTGAAAATCAGCAGGGAGTACTGGATGAAGACACTATCCGTTTTTGAAAGAGATACTTTAAAGGAACCTTGACATTATCAGTGACATCCTCTTAGGGGAAATTTCACCTCTTGAAGTAGAACATAACTGAGTAATAGGTAGGCAATATACAAACAATTATATGTGCATGGCTGGCATATGACAAGTGGATATCATTTGAAGATATTTGTATCAGGAATATGCGTTGGGATCAAGAAGGCAGTGAGTGATACATATTCATTTGATTTCTAAGTCATGACTTGCCGTGCATCATTTGATGTTACACCATCACGCCTGTTGAAGCTTTAGAATTCCGCTTTTCCGCAGTCTTCATTCTTTCAAAAGCAAATCCTTTTCTGTAGAAGCTTGATTCTATCAAAGTTACACGTTCAGAGAGATCATCAGTGAGAACGCTTCTATTGACAAACTTTCACGTCTTTCTTATGTTCGCCTATGAATTTCGTCATTTAACACATTGTTTCAAAGAATGCGATAATATCTCTCTAACTTGTAGTTTTCTCTTGATGTTGACCGAATGAAATGAGTGAAATTTGGCTTTATCATGGTATCATATTCCTTACTCCAATGATCATCCTCCGAAATTCTTTATTGCTTAATTCAGCTTTCGCTGAAAAATGCACATACCTGTCTGATTCAATTCATCTGTCTAAAATTTCTACAAAAACTTATTCGTCCTAATGAATTTGAATGAAAAAGCCCTATTATTTGGCTATTTCAGGATTTTTTTATTACAGCTTGATTCCATACTGTATTTTTGGTACAAGTATGGAATTTTCAGCATGTGATATCAGTAGATCACATTTTGTAAGCCGACCATAGATATTAGGTGTGCGTCGTCAGGGAATCTAACCTCGGACCATGTGTATAGTCGGCGAGAGTCGTAGCCACCAAGGCACCGACGCACACCGTCATCCGTTTCGTGCGTTTCTCTTCAGATGTGTATTGACTGCAGATTATTATGAGCAGATCAATTTTATCGGACTTATAAATGGGATATAACGTCATTTAACAGAAGACTCAAGAATTACAATCGTATTACTATAATGTAGTATGTTGAAGTTCAAACGAAGAACTAAATGTTTGAATACAATGGAAAAACTATCATACAATAAAAACAGCAGACAAATAAGGTGATGAGTAACTTATAAGTAATGTGACATTGTAATGAATTTCAATCAAATCACAGAAACGAAAAGCACGCAGAGTTTTGTTAAGACGTATAAATTGTCGTTGTTAGCCGTGTGCTCACTATCGGTGTATGCAGTGGCCTAATAATCTTACTGGATAGCGTTAGACTGAATTCAGTTTGGAGGGTTATCATAGCCATTCAATCAATGAGGTATTAACTGTCTATCTGTGGTTAAATGTTCTATGGATGTGTAAAGAATATATATATTCTCATGTATTTTGAATAATGTAGGATGTTGGTGTCTCAGTTGGCGATTGTTGCAGTTAAGTATGACCTATGGATCATAAACAATAAGAGTCATAACAAATTAGCGAACAAAATGAGGATGCTGGTAATCACTTCATGGGCGAACTTTTTATGTGTAATAAGGACGATGTAATGATGATCAGATGTGGACGAATGTGTTGAAGGCGTATGTTCTTCAGTCATCTTAATTTAAGGAAAGGTAACAGGATACATAATGTCAGCGAAAATAATCACAAGTGACTTGTTGGCTGCGCACTGCAAAACAGACGATACCCACAAGACAAGACTCCACAGATGTTTCTGCCTCTATGACGACAGTCATCGATACGTGTGTGAGAGGATGGTTGACTTGGTGATGGACAACTTGTGGTGGTGGAAAATAAAGAGTCACACAGATCCCGGCGGTCATGATGAGAAACACAGATGTGAAATCACAACATTTTTGGAGATGGCTAGGAATTTTAAGAGGTTGACTGTTGGAGGGTAAGTAGTATGAAGTGTGTGTTTGTGGGTTTGTTTGCACGAGAGAAGTGTGCTGATCATGACACAGAACTTTCTATCTCAGATCATCACTATCATCATTATATCCGTCCTCAGTAGTATGTCCACTGAGTACTCTACAGAGTATCACAAGTATCTTTCATATTCTTTGAAAGAGTTTTTGCTCAAAGATTTCGTTGATTGAATTTCTCATGGGAGATTACTTCATTAAATAATATGCTTGCACTGACATCACAAATTTTGAAAAATAAAAACTACGGACCACTTGAAATGGATTTGAAGATAACAACAGAGTAATCACGATCATTTGAAATTTCGGGGATTCTCAACAGATGGTAACACTCCACCGAAAAATATATAGGGTCTGTTTTTCCAAAATATCCGAAATTAAAGTAACTAACCCACTGTAGTTGTAGTATATGTACTGAATGATTTAAATGCGAATGATTCATTGACCCACAAGACAACACCTTCAGTGTTGACTTCAAAACGAAGTGAAATATTTCGAATTCTACATGGATGATATAATCATGCATTTTATTTAACCCCACTGGAAATGGTTAGCTTGAAAGGTTTCTTGTCATTTTGTTCCCTTCTATTCGCAATGATCATTTTCATGATCAGGAATTTCTTCATGTTCATATGCAAACTTTACTCCATTTCTTGATATTCGCAAGGATGCCTGTCATATAAATGTCAATCGATTACATGATTCCTAGAAACAAAAATGTCTTTCCTTATATAAAACATAAATCGACATACTGAATGCAGTACCTTAGGCTACCTTTCTTCCTTACTACCTTACTTCCACATAATGGGCTGAAGTTCACTGATGTTCAATAAAGGAGAAATGGTAATAGGCCGGCAAGCAATTATGTTGGATACGTGTGATTTCCAATTCATCACATCATTTATCAATATGAACAATGACCCCAGCTTTCTCATACTGTTTCGTGTGAGAAGGCGCAAAATTTGTTTTTAAAATCTGGAGGACAGAAACTCGACGAACTACTGAACGATAGTAAGTATTTGAGAGCATAGGAAATATGAATTGACTTCATTTACTTAGGATCTTTTCATGTCTGTTGTCACATTCATTTGAATGGTAAAATCTGCCTTCTCATACCTTTAAGAATTGACAGCACACCATAAGATATTTTGAGGTAGGACCAATTCTATGGAAATATGTTACGCAAATAGAATCCATCTGTGACGCGCGTTACTTACAAAACAAAAGTAAGAATGCTATAATCTATTCTATATGGACCGAATTATTACTTTTTTTGATTTACAGCTTGATTCCACACTGTATTTTTTGTACAAGTATGGAATTTTCAGCATGGATATCGGTAGCCTAAATTTTGCAGGCCGACCATAGATATCAGGTGTGCGTCGGTGCAGGCTCGAACCCCGGACCATGTGCATGGTCGGCGAGTGTCCTAACCACTGTGCCACCGACGCACGATCAAAATGAATCTATGCAAAGTTGTTTTTCAATGACATTTCCGTGAAAACCTCATGAATTTCGGTGATCAGTGGTGTATAATCACAGATCAAATGTCAAAGAACATCAAAACAGTTTGATCACCATTCTTATTTTTATGTTCAATTGCAGTTTTGCCTCATTGTTCATTTTGAAAACATTATTTCACTCATATGTGAGGTTTACAGTTCCCTATTGAGATTATGAATTTTCGGTCACCTTAACTAAATTTCTTCCGAGTTAATTCACCATTCGGCATCAGACAGACAGCCATTGAGAAACCATGTGATAATCGACACTGTTTAATTCTACTCTGGAAAAGGTTCTTTAGCAGTACATAGTTATATTTACAGATATCACTTCGAGCACAATTTATTGCTCATAATCGTATCAAGTAACACTGGGGGCCTTAATCAAAATAATATTTTCTCCATAATGTGACTTATCAGCATCTGCCATCTCTGGATACTGAAGATCAGATTACAAGTCATAAAGGGTCAGCAAAACGGAGATAAGTCAACAAACCAACGAAATATATATCGCCTAACTAATATGCAAAAGATATGAAGATGGGTTAGGCATACACCGAGGAAACTGATGAGTAGCATGAGTAGTCACACGAGCTCTACAGTGGAGGCAAAATGGAAAAAATGAGTCAAGTGTCTGATGGACGAGGAGATAAGAGCTACAGTGACTTGAAAATACTGCAGTGCACAGAGTGAAATGGTGATTTACTGCTGAATGTGTATGTTTCACTCAAATCCTGGATCCATTCAGTGTATGCTGAATAAGACATGATCACCAATGATAGATAAGTAACAGAGTACTTAGATGGTGAATAGAGAAATTGAATAGAGTCATTCATTGTGTACTCATTTGAATTAGTTGAAAAATAACAATAATAAAAAATTCCCCAAACACACAAGGCTGGACTGTATTTGCAGAGATCAATATACTAATGTAAGTTAAAATGTTGTTCAAAGTACAATAAATACTGCTACATATCACGCATATAGACTCTGTTGATGTACACTGAAGCATATAAATGAGTGAATTAAAGGCTTTAACTGTAGTTAACCAATTAACAATCAGGTGAGTTCAGATATCGATGAATTTTCGGCGGTTTCGCTGTTACTTTTTCGTGGATTATTTGTCATTTGTGATTTCCAAGACACTGCCTGGTAACATAAAATGTGCAATGGAATAATATATCCAGTTGAGCATAAAAAATGCTGCAAGTTTATATCAATTTGGGTTTTCAAAACAACATACTCACGAGATCCCACTTTAATTCATGTGACCCTCAGACAATAGTGTGTTTGAGAAGGGTGTTCCCTTCCGCAACTCTGATTGAGGTTCGCTTATCTTGAATACTGAAACTGTTAGGTGCTCAAAGATGCAAGGGAAATATAAGAAAGCATTGTTATACCCAAATATAATGAAGGGTTGATTAAACAGATTATTACAGGTAAACAAAGCCTAGATTCCACTGTCGATATAAGGAATGATATTTATTTTTTAATATGTGTTATAAATGATCTTGGACATATAAATTAGGATGATAAAATATTAAGTAACCAGATTTTATTCAAAAGTGAGTGAATGGATAACGAAGAATAATGTACGTAAAGATCGTTTCGGATGGTTCAAACAATAATGTCGAGATCGAGCAGGATTCCAAGCCAGATAATACACAAGGAGAGCGTACGAAACGCTAAAGAAACTCATGAGTAGTATTGTTATCTGTCATGTTGATGAAGATAATATTTTTACTGGGAGGCAGTCCTTTCCAGGAATACATCATTCTATCAATGTTGACATACTTCACTTTACGTCTCTCATTTAGAAATTCACATAATCTTAGGTGTTCTTAGAACAAATAAAGGCAGTCTCCAAAACTACGTTTACATATCTTTTTCCAGAACGAATGCTTGTAATTCTTCAAAAACACGATCAAGTTTTCTACATTTGAAAATCACCTGTGAACATTCTCAGCTAGACTAGTGGAATTAGTCTTCAAAGCATCTTGTTAGAGAGCATTTTGATCATTTTGAAAGGATTCTAAAAGTTCACTGTATACTAAACGATAAGGACAACTTCACCCATGGATTCTGCTATCCTCAATAATTTGTAAACTGTAAATGCCTGAGATATCATCCTTGAAGTCAATGCTAATTCATAATCAAAATTTGAATTCTACGCAATTTGCCTAGTATCACAAACACTTACCTTTCACAATTCACATTCAAATATTTCAGATATTTCGATCATTAATTAGTCAGAGAGCTCATTTCTGGACTACGAGGAAAGTGAAGATGAACGAAAAGGTGAAGGTTTGTTGAAACATCTGCACTGCATTATTCATAGGATATAAACCTACCATCTACTGCTGCGCAAACCTGTCTTAAAAAGGTAGGTGTATTTATAGTGTAATATGTAACCATATCAAGTACATCATTTTCACGTGTTTAATGGTTTTGGTGACGGTGATCACTACGACCTGTGTAGCGACTATGTAAGTCTGTATTGTAATTTTTCATCTGCACACTGCTGCTCTTAGTGAAGCACTTCGATATTTGTACGATACCTTTTACATGGCACTGGGTTTTCTGTGAGTTATTTGATGTAAATTATAACAGATATTTCCTAATGATGGTTGAATATTAATCGTATGATAGTTTTATGCGGGTCATTGTAATGAGATTCTGAATAGTGATAACTGGCGGCGGAACTTAGGGCTTAGAATTTTCTCTATTTGAAACTCGAGAACTTGATATAACTGCATTCTCAGTAATTACTGATGTCCCCCCTGACCAAGTGGCTGTCACTTCTTCTTCTTCTTGGTACAAGTATGGAATTTTCAGCATGGATATCGGTAGCCTAAATTTTGCAAGCCGACCATTGATATCAGGTGTGCGTCGACAGGGATTTGAACCTCGGTTCATGTGGATGGTCGGTGAGTGTCCTAACCACTGTGCTACCGACGCACTTGCACGTGACAGACACCTGATTTGTTATTGGTATCAAGCACTATTTGTTCAAACTAAGCTTTTGTTTCCTGTTGATTGAGACAGCCACGATTAAATGTTCAGCTACAGGTGACCTGTCAACTTACTGAAGGATGCCGGTCCCAAGCCCGGATTAAGAGGGAGGTTTGGGACGTGGTGCTAGCAACTACACTTCTGTAAAACAACCAAATCGCTACAAAAACTTAAACGAATAAATATATTAAAAATTCTAAAATCATAAACAATAACCATATTTTTTGCTGGAATCGGGGAAGTGAAATGATGCAGACAAGTGAAAGCCTTTGTGAAGCTAGTCAGCCGATGTGCCTTCTCTTGATGAAAGCAAAAGTAAAGATGGGTACCTGGGATGTTCGTACAATGTACGAAACTGGAAAGGCTGCCCAGATGGCCGCTGAAATGAGAAGGTACAGAATAGAAGTGTTATGAATATGCGAGAGCAGATGGAACGGAACTGGAAGGTGCCAACTACCTACTGGAGAGACAGTATTCTATTCCGGCCACCCAGAGGACAACCATGTGCACGCTGAGGGAGTGGCCATCATAATGTCACCAACATCAACCAAAGCTCTCATGCAGTGGGAACCAATCTCCTCCAGGATAATGACAGCCAGGTTCAACCCAAAAGGAAGGAAAGTTACAGTCATTCAATGCTATGCACCTACAAACGTCTCAGAACAAGAGAAGAAGGAGGCGTTCCACAGACAACTACAGACAATAATGGACAACGTCCCAAATGGCGATATCAAAATCCTGATGAGCGACATAAATGCGAAGCTAGTGGGAGACAACACAGGAAGAGAACTCACCATGGGTCGAGAGGCCCTCGGCGAAATGAACGACGATGGTGAACTCTTCTCAGACTTCTGCGCCTTCAATGATTTGGTGATCGGTGGTTGTGTGTTCAAACACAAGGATAAACACAAGACGACATGGATTTCACCAGATGGAAACAACAAGAATCAAATAGACTTCATCTCAATTTCGAGAAAGTGGAGACGGAGCCTACTGGACACAAGGTCAAGGAGAGGAGCAGATGTGGGTTCAGACCACTATCTAGTAGAAGAGACTTTCAAGGTGAAGCTAAAAGCCTCGAGGATAGCTAGGTATAGGCCACAATGCAAGTTCAACACTCAAATACTGAAGGACAAATCCACAAAAGACACTTACACTGCAACTGTCAGAGCAAAGCAGGAAACACTACGCGACATCACTGAAGAATCAGGCGTGGAAGAACATTGAAGTCTCTGAAGGCGATTCTCAACGAAACATGTTCAACGGTCCTAGGAAGAAAGAAAAGACAAGACAGGGAATGGCTCTCAACGGATACTTGGAAATTAATAGAAGAGAGGAGAATGGTGAAGGAGAAAGTAATTCAATGCAAGGACGGACAGGAGAAGGAGACGCTGAACTAAACTTGCACAGCACTGTACAAAGAAGTGAAGAAGACTACTGGGAAGGACAAAAGACGATTCTATGACAATCTGCCCAGTGAAGCTGAGAAGGCGGCAGGCAAAAGGGACCTGAAGACATTGTATCAGTAAACCGAATCTCTATCCGGGAAGAGATCAACACAAGCGAAACCTATAAAAGATGGCCAAGGGAAGCCAATTACCAAGGGTGAAAAACAGATTAAACAATGGGCGGATCACTTCAAAGGACTCTTGAACCGAACATCACCTGCGACCCGTCCAGAAATACCAACAAAAGCACAAGCACAACTGCAAGTTGACAACAATCCTCCAAGGAAAGCTGAAGTCTTGAATGTAATCAAGCTTCTGAAAGCTGGGAAAGCAGCTGGACCAGATGGAATACCCCGTGAAGCACTGAAAGCAGATCCAGAGACGACAGCAGATATGCTCACTCCATTAGTGCAAATGACCTGGAAAGAGTGAAAGGTGTCTACTGACTGGAGGTAAGGTTACCTCGTGAAACTATCAAAGAAGGGCGACTTACGATTCTGTGAGAACTGGCGAGGAATTCTGCTTCTATCGACGCCAAGTAAAATCCTGAGTCGCATCATCCTGGAGAGATTAAAGGACGCACTGGAGACAGAACTCCGACCAGAACACGCTGGCTGGATTCAGGAAAGGCAAATCATGTTCAGACAAAATCGCAACTCTACGCATCATAATCACAGAACAAAGCGTGGAATGGCAATCAAACCTCTACCTCAACTTTATAGACTTTGAGAAGGCCTTCGACAGCGTGGATCGTGAAGTAATTTGGAAACTACTCGGGTCCTACGGCGTACTTCAAATATTCATCAAACTTATCCAACAGCTGTACGACAACGGCACATGTAAAGTGATCCAAAACGGAATACTCAGCGAGGCGTTTGGAGTAGAGACAGGAGTCAGACAAGGGTGTTTATTATCACCAATAATATTTCTAATTGTGTTGGACTGGATCGTGAGTCAGAGAGTGGGAAGCGAGAAGACAGGGACATCCTGGATCGACGTGAAGAACCTTATATACCAAGATTTCGTGGATGATTTATGTTTGATGTCACACCAAATGGAAGACCCACAAGCGAAAATCGACAAACTGGTAGAAGAAGCAGCTAGTGAAGACAGGACTCCAGGTCAACATAAACAACGCAGAGGTTGTGAAAATAACCAACCAACAACAACAGCCGCAACATCCAGCCTTAATCACCATCAACGAGAGGGATTTGAAAGAGGTTCCTTCATTCGCTCACTTATCTAGGGAGCATTGTCTCAACTACAGGAGGAGCGGACGAAGATGTCACATCTAGAAACGGGAAGGCGAGAAACACATTCATCAACCTGAAAATCTTCGTCACTCAGCATCACCAACAAAATTCGGATTTCCAATACAAACGTAAAATCAGTTCATCTATACGGATCAGAAGCTTGGAGGGTCACAAAGAATATTTCCAAAAGGTTGCAAACCTTTACTAACAACTGTCTTCGCTGGCTCTATACTGAAGATCAGTTGGCCGGGTCAGAAAAAATCACCAACAAGAAACTCTGGCTGAAAGAAACAACGCAGGAACCAATCGCCCAAAAAATATGCAGTAGAAAGTGGAGATGGATCGGTCACTCGCTGAGGAGACCACTGGGTGACATCGCGCGCCAAGCCCTCGAGTGTAACCCGAAAGGGAAGCGGCGTGTGGGGCGTCCAATGTGACATGGAGGAGATCGTGTTAAGAGGAGTTGAAAGAGTATGGACTAACATGGATGCAGGTGAAAAGTACAGCAGAAGACGGAAGTGGCAAGTGGAGACGTGCTGTTGAAGCCCTATGTTCCACTAGGAATCCAAGGGAACAATAAAATAATAATAGTAAATACGCGAAATTTCGGAAATGCACACGTTATTCGGTACATGATGGATGGAAAATGAGAACTACAGTTAAATAGAATCACCAAACAGGAATTGAAAATTATTTCAAAGTTAAAAATTACATGGTACTCGACGGAACAAAGATAGTAGTTAGAAAAGGTTAAAACTGCTCTTAAGTGAGAATAAAGTTATTAGAGTGTCAATTTAACAAGTGTGAAGAAGGTGTGAAAATATATGAAATTGATAATAGTGAATTAATTATTAGAGCAAAAGCAAATTATTTCCAACTAGCAAATATTTACTTGACTTTATTATTCGGTCGAATGGCATATCAGAATTTGTTTTGTTATTGTTTTAGAAACTCTTACAACTGGAAGTAGTTGTGACTAACTTTGCTTCGATTAAAACAGCACTGTTACGATGACTGAACGCTAGTCACCACCAAAATAACCTTTAACTCTTTGTGAGAATACGATGCATAATGTTGTTGATTTCCTCAAACTAACTATTTCTATTATTTTGCTTTTTTCAGTGTACTCGGTGCAATTCCTGTTTCATTGTTATTCATTATTGAGAAAGTTAGAACGACTTTTCCACTTAATGAAGTACTGATCTCAATTTCGGTGAGTTTGCGTTCTTTGATTGGACAATTCATGTATGTTTCTTCTAAACCCCTGACAATTACGCAAAATAATTGCTATAAATCAACGACTAGACCGAGCATTTGTAATTGATGTTACATTCGTATTCATCATAGATTAGTGACATCTTTGACTGGAACGACACAATCATATGATAATTCCTTTTCTGCTGACTGCAGACTTCAGTGACTGCTGTGCTGACTGGAAGTGTTTTTATGTATTATATGCGTTATCTAATTCTCTTCCTAAAGTCTATTTTGAACTGCTGCAACTGAGGATGACCTACTTCTTGAGTCAAAATTCATAGTGGTGAAAAATGATCGATAGACAACTCGATGTGACTAATCGATTAAGTGAAGAATTGTTGAAGGTTGCAGGGCACTGTGATATCATGGTGCAATACATACTTGTTCAATGTACAGAATATATAAGTTCAGAATTTGAGAAAGACGCAAAATGGGGAAGGAATTTAATTGAATTTTAGAATTTCTCGTCGATTGATTCGACCGAGGTGCTCGATCTCAGGTTGACATTTCGGATTCTTGTGCAGATGCTTTGACGATGTCAGGGAAAGAATATTTCACATATTTTGGTCACTCCAGTTCATAAATCTGAGATGTGTGAGCGTCAGATAATATCCTTTCAAAAAGTGTGGCAGATCAACTGACAGATATTTCAAACTTCCAGTGAGAGAGTTATTTACAAGTGCAAAATATTTTAAATTTTTGCTTTAGAAACCGTGTGAATATCACCCCACCAGAGTTACATTTGGGCAAAATTACATCGCGTTCCCCCAAGCTAGGCAAACGGCTTAATTTTGTTTGAGTCCGTCCGTAGTTGATTATTAAGTAGGAGACTAAAGTGATGTGATCAACTTGTCATCTGCAAAGTGTTGAAATTGCTTGAGTTGTCGTTCATAAAAATACGTGTACTGTCGATTCTATCATAAAGTCTCTCATAGTTTCAGATTATTCCACCTAGTTTCTGAATGCACACTGATCACATTATCATTAGTCTGTAATGAGACAACATACTTCATCATGTTTTTATCCGAATAATAAGCCAACTAATAACAAGTGCTGCAATAGCGCTATGTCCACATTTTACACGTAAATGATAAAGTTAATTTGTCCAAATAAACACAATTACGATTTCATACCTCAATCCAATCTATACATTTTCTAGGTCTTATTATGGTCTTTTACATTACCTGCTGTCACCAAATCCATGGGATTTTTAATTTTTGCACCATGGGGTATTACAGTCATCCTAGCTGTGGTGGCAGTGATAATTGGATACAAAACTGTGAAACAGAGTGCGAAAGTGAGCATCATACTATTGGGCATCGCTGGTGGAACCACACTGTTGGATATCATTCTGTTAATTGCTTTAAGACTTGCTAATCATGAAGTAAGTAGCGTGCTATTTGGTGAAGAAGTTTTCCTGTGATTCTTCCATGTCGATAAATTACTATTTCTTGTGTCACTGGTCATATATTGTGTAGGACAGTTTATAAGAATATATATCAACAACGTTGAACACACCACTGCATTGTAGCAGAATTGTAGATTAGTCAAAGTTCATTCAGTAATCAAACGACATACCATAGTTTTGTTAATTTAGCTGGTTTACAAATCGTTCCGTGCCTGTACAATTCAAGATGCATGGGCTACCGATATCCATGCTGAAAGTTCCATACTTGTACCGAAAATACAGTGTGGAATCAAGCTGTAAATCAAAATAAATAAATAAATAAAAATTTACATATCACTTTCAGATTCCTCTCACTTGCTAGTGCTACATTATTTTCCCATATACCTGAACTATGCAACAGAAAATCTCACGAAATCACCTATTGCATCAACCATCTATTGCATTTCACTAATTTAAATTGTGACCGATTGCTGTCACCTTGACGTTGTATTGGATCTTGCATGTCTTAGTGACCCAGTGAGCTGCACTATTTAGGATTAGTGTTACTGCATGTCGTGCTATGACACAAAAGTTGTTCTGATATGAATAAGACTAAGAAGGTTGTCGTCATAGTGTAAACTGTTCGCATTGTTTTGAAGGTCTTTAGGTGAAGTCATAGCGATGGGGAAGTCAGGATCTAACATCAGTAGGGTGTCTCCTTCAGATAATCATCACGCCGACTTTTCTGACTATTCACCCTATACAGTGTGAACTAGAAGAGGTCGATAATGAAAATCGCGCATATCACCAAAACCTCTTGGTGCCCAGCAGCTGGTGGTTAGATCTTAGTAGGACAGTTAAGTAATTTAGGCATGTAGCTTATGTATTTCAGCAAGTGATATCATATTTGTCAATTCTGCTCTAAGGACTGAATTCTAAATGTTATTGTTACAACCTCTTCAAATTACTAACAGGCTACTTTTAGAGAGTACAGTTTAAGTAATATTGACTGACTGAAGGGGCTACTTAAAATAACCTGCATGCCACTTACACTGCACACATTAAGCAGTCAAGCGGTGGATGACATGGAACACAGCTTAAGAGTAGGAAATAAGAACCTGAAACTACTTTTATAATATAAAATACAAATCACCAATTTATTATTGGTTCATAATACTTTCTATATCTTACTTGCAGCTAATTGCAGTTATTCTGTCTGGCATAATTTTGGCTTTGGCTGCACTCATAGTAAGTCAGATGATGGATTTTAGAGTATTCATGAGGCTTACTATGTGATTTATTATATATATATATATATATTCTATGCCATCATTAATTATCCTTTGTAATTACACTGATATATCCTCAATGCACTTCTGCGCATTCACGTATGCATTGTGTTACGTGTATGTGTGTGTTACTCGTTGATTTCTCTTTCTGTTATGAAAACACTTTTCGTTACCACACTTGATTATATCATCTTTTATTTTGATATTTTCTCACACTTATTTAGTTGCGTCATCAATAAATAGTTGTCTGCCTTCATTTGTCCGGTATCTAACAGAATGGACCTAAGAAAAGGCATAAAAAGCGAAGAAAATTTTTTTCGATGGTTCATTTTCATGAGCTGTACATTCGCAATTTTATTTAACAAAGAAATCCCTAGACCAATCAGATACTGGGATGACTAATTGTAAGTTAGAAAAGTGACAGAAGTTGGCATGACGTGACAAGTTTAAGCTGATGACTGGTAAATAAGCTCATGTATAATAAGGCATGGACTATTGGAAAGACGATAAAGTGTTTTTCTATAAAATCTGTATGAAAAAGCAATGTTATTAATAAACAATAATAGAGTGGTAATAAAATATGCACGATGGGAATAATAATGATAATAAAAAAGTAGCAGTAATATCAATAACGAATAATAATAGTGAACTTATATTATAAAAAATAAAGAAGCAAAATTTTTAGTAAGAACTGTACTCCTACCACAGTAGGGCGAGATAATGTAAGTCTCGCTTTTGAATGTATTGGTCCGAATAGCTAATGCTTCAGCTAGGTACAGTGGCTTGTGCGAAATCCCTTTGTACCATATTGAGGGACTCTGTGTAACACTGTGAAGCATTCATGCGAGGATGACAAGGTGCTCGAGGATGAAGCTCCTTCTATCATGTCATTTATGTATTACCAAGTTGACCATGAATGACGTGATCTTATAATTTGAGTACCTCAGCATATGTCTGCTTCTCCTGCACTACACCTTATGTCGTAATTGAGAATCTTCGTCCATATCACTCATATGACTACAGCAATCACCTGTTCCGAGGTGATTTCACTTTCCAGATAGCATATGTTGAAAATGCGTTGATTTCAGAATCATGACTCAGTTTGAGAAGGTCGTGTAAATTAACTGAATAATCTCTGAACAGGAAGATCATCAGTCGAATCAATATATGTGCAAAACTTGGAGACAACGATTTTCACACTTTGATGTTAGTGGCAATCTCCTTGAAGGAATCATTCATATAACTTCCAGTGTTTTCACATTTTACTCTCCGTCTTAGGTATTATATCTCACTGGACAAGGAATAAAGCGGTGCAATAATGAGACAACGAAGACACTTCTACCGTTGTGGTTAGCTCTGATTACTTGGGCAGGGTGTGTTTATTTATTCATATCCATAGCTGTGATGTTTATAGAAGGCAGAACGATGGCACGTTGAAAACTGAAGAATATCTCCCTCTCCTTTTGAAAGATCAAGGTCATTTATGCATGAAGAACAGTCACCCGTTTGTCTTGCTTGCTGGTTCTATAATAACGATGAACTTTATTTAAAATAAATTTTGCAGTAATGTATACTGTGTTTACCCATAAGAGATGAATGGATTTTTCTCATGTATTAGATAGTGAGACACTACCTACTTTGTATAATAGTGTGAGTAAATTTGATCTTGAGATGAGGAAAGTGATAAGAAATTGCAAATGCAATTCTCGCGTTTATTGACTATTTCATACCAGGTATAAATTGACGATGAGTTAGTTCACATAGACTGTATGGTTTGAGTGTTTATCAACTATCAGCATAAGGAAGTTTATTAAGAATATGCTGCCAACAACATTTGAATATTTCTCAGTATTGAATCTGCACACAAATAGAGATTTCGGTTTTGTTCGAGCTAATTCAAATGAAACAGTCTTTACATGACTTAATATTGGGTATTCAGTTGTGAATGTTTTGTCTGTAAATTCGTATAGGTGTTCACACAGTCTCTTTATGTTCTCGCAGACTGTGTTTTGTAAGTATCCCGCGGTGTGTGTGTAACCTGTTTTTCCTTTCCTGTTGGTTTTTCTGTCATGGTGCTTAAGGAGGCATTTTTACGTTGTACTAAAGCCAGCATTCGCTCTTGTTGAAATCATGACTGTCATAGCATCAGACTAGTTGTGGTTGAATTCTGACTTATATCAGTAGACTGCTAACTCTCCAGTGAAGAAATTGAATAATCCACTCTATTCAACCTTCCCACACACATCACTCACATTTCTGTCCCTTCATATGTCTCTGTAATCCAATCTGGTTCAACCAGCAGGAAACATGAAGCTTAAATTCTATTTTCCCATGCTTACCTTAACTTGCATCGTGAGAATGTTAATCAGTAGACACGTCTCTCAAGATCTTCAATCTCTTACCATCTTGCATCCTCAAACTAACCAGACTTTCCCTCTTCAATGAACGATTACTTTCTTTTTTCATTTGTCTTGAACTTTCAGTAGCGAAGAAGTAGTTGTATTGCTTGGTTTCATTGCTTCTTATAGGTCTAGCTCAGAAACCTAAGTGATTTCCCTTGAGAAGTGTCAATATCTCTTGTGAGTTTCCAGCATTCAAAATGATCATGATCACTCTGCTGTTATATTTGAATGCATTTCAGATGGTCCACTAAATTTATTTTTCTCAGCGACTGAGAAGTATGCAGATATTTGTGATTTCATTCCATTCATGCCAACCAGTACTGTAATCGCTCATGAAACATCCACTCAAGTAAATGCTTTAGCACATTGTAGGAAACTGACTTTGCTAATGAAATGCTACACTATGCCATCCTTACAGAACGTTTACTTTGCCAAATTCACGGCGTATTCAGTTTAAAATCTTACTTTTAAGTAGTGATAATCAAACACAAATCAGAAAGACTCAGTTAATTGGAAATCTGAGCTACGTATTCCAACAGAGCTAAAAGTTAAATTTATTTAGGGAGATGATGAATATTCCTGAAATACATTTTCTGGTAGTGAGCTTGTTATCAGCACAAAGGACCAGTTTCGAAGTAGTTCAACTTTGAGGTGAAAAACATCAGATGACAGAAGAGAAAGGAAGCGTAGCCTGAACTTCAAGTGAGTGTGGAGAAGAGGGAGGTGATGAAGATAATCAAACAAACTAATTTCCGATCAGTTTCAAAGGAAGAAATTTCAAAGATGCTATTACCTTCAATCATCTATAAGCATCATTTAAAATACCGCCAGTCGGTAAGGATAACGACGTCGAAACCGGAATCGGAAGGGCAAGAAGGACCTTCATCACTCTGAAATCAGTTAAGAAATCTTCTATACTCAACACAAAGAACAAATTCTGGATTTTCAACAAAAGTGTCAAGTCAGTCAATTCTTCACTATCGGTGGAAAACTTGAATCTACAGTCATGAAGATCATTACTAACAGAGTGTTGAAGACATGATCAACAGCTGCTATCTTCGCTGGTTGTAAATTGAAGATCAAGTGGCTAGTGAGAAATAATCATCATCGAGAAACTCTGGAAGCGAACCATTCGTAAACTCATAGCCGAATAGTTACATGGAATAAAATGTAAACGGAGGGGACACACGCTGAATAAGACAATGAACGACATTGCCTGCAAAATATGAGCTCGATTACTTAGTGAGAAATGAGGAGTGGGGCAGCCGAGTGTTAAATGAAGGAAATCATGAGAGGAGTATATGCGAGACCTTGGGCAATCTTGTTACTAGCAAAAGAGGACAGCAGAGAATAGTGCAAAGTTGAGATGTGCGTTTGAAACCCCTTCGATTCACTCAAAACAGAGAGGAACAAAAGCAATAATAATAATAATCTAATCAGAAGTTTTCGTTTATATTTGCAGCAATTTAAGTCCCAAATGTGCAACACTTATTTAGTCATGACAAAGTAATTTAAATTCAATTCAATTCAATAATAGCCAATGGTAAAAGTTATAGAACTTACCTGAGGCATTTTCAGTGTAAATCAATAATGTGAATAAAATGAGAAGTAAACTCAGTAGCATTTTCATGACTGTAAAATCCAAATGAATAAATGTGAGCAGAAATTGTATTTTTGAATATTTATACCAAACGTAGAATGTTCTTATGAATGATAAAAGAAGAAAAGTAGAAATTAAACATCAGACAAATTTCTCGTCCTTTACAAAATGAAATCTGTCACTATAATATCTCATACAAAATATGGGCGTCATCTTCAATCGGCCATAAAATATCAGACTAACATATCTATATTGATAATACAAAACACTGACATGATAAAAGAGTTTTAGATGGGCTGAAACAGAGCACAGTACTCTGTTAAAAAGCCTTTGTTTGTTATAAATTATTGAATGTATCACCGTGTTCTTTCTAAAAAAAGAGTCATTTGTGGAGTATAAAATTCTCCATAAGATTTATAAACACAGTATTTCTTCACTCACGAAAACTGAAAACGAAGTGAGAAAGGAAGAAGACGGTAAATCAATTAGAAAAAAAGCGAAAACAACAACACAACATTTTAAAAATCCACAGCATTTTATTAGCTCACAATTAAAGCAAACAATAGACAAAATTTTACTCAGATTATTCTACTGATGAATGCAAAAACGATGTTTCTCTTGTTAACGTAGTCTATTTTTTGAGAATGATTTGAACTGTACTTTATGTAAGACAAAACGTATGTCAACACATGTTAGTGAATTAACTCAGTATTGACAAATAATCATATTTATAGTTGTCAGATATCAAAAGATAAGTGGCTGATTTTGTCTACTGGGTTTCAGCATGATCTGAAATAACTTAGAAAAAACTTTAAAGTGCTGAACGGCGTTTTCATCCTAGTTTTCTGTCCAACCGCCAGTGTCCTAACCTAGGACCTTCCATTAATAAGGCGAATTCGTAGACCACTGAGGCATTTGGCCTAGATCCAGTGGCTAGTACATCAATTCCTAATTCTGACAATTCACTATATAGCGCAACCAATTGTCAGTGTCATTCGAGGTGAGTGTCTGTCCCTGCACTCGTCCTGCTGTCCCCCGCTGTTAGTGACTTCTCACTAGGCAGCTTGTTAACAACTGAATATGTGGAAAACCTGGTAAGCTGCCTTTATCATTTTGATTGCGTTATTGTACAAACTAAATCAGCGGACCACTGATATATCTTTCATTGAAGTTTTAGCTAAAAAGTTTGAAGAAAACAATGGATTAACGTCTCAAATGTGTTGTCCAAGGAACTTGCATACAATTTATAAATCTTAACCAGTTGCTCCAACTTTAATAACTGATGTTTAGTGAAACTAAAGAGAAATTTCATACATTTGTTTCCCTTGATAAATTTTGATAGAGAAAGAAAGACCAGATTTGCAGTATAAAATGATATCATTCTATTTCACAGGTTCTCATCAGCTGCAAACTACCTGAAATTACAATGGTTATAAATAATAATATTTCAAACAATGAAGTATGGAATGTTATTATTTATAACCATTGTAATTTCAGGTAGTTTGCAGCTGATGAGAACCTGTGAAATAGAATGATATCATTTTATACTGTAAAGAGAAATTATTTGAAATCAACTTAGGCTTTCGTTACACTGACTAGGCAGTGTAAGAACATTGCTGAGCCACCTTCATCAGTCACATTCGGACCATATAGGATGCCTGAATATGTGAATTTATTGCATTTACTCCTAAACGAATCGATGGTAGCAACTACACGGTAATCGAGAATCATAGAGGTTTTTACGGCCTGTCGAAAATGTCTTTTTATTTCACCTTCTCAACTGTTTAATTTTGGTCTACACAAAACTTGAGGTTCATAGATGCCACTTTAGCCACCGCTCGAAAATCTGCTCAGATGATTATCTAAAGTTCTTAATAAATTCGAATTCGCTTTACTCTCTTCTAGATGTTATCTTATTCAAAACTTTCTCAATAAAAATGCATATTGTTCCAGCATACTTCTGTGTAATGTAGTGTTCCAGACTCCACGACCTAAACACTTTCTTACAACGATTTTTCTGTCTTCCCTGATTGATTACTGCAAGTAGTGATGACTTCAGTAATGTTTGCTCAGGAGAATGAAATATAAAATAGAATTTGTTTGAGGTGAAGGCAGAGAAAGTAATCTTAATAAACAATACAAAACTGACCATATCATGGCAAGAGGAAATGAAAACCCATATCTGTACTGAATAAAATAAGAACTAAGTAGAAGAATGTACGTCAACCCTATTGTAAATGTGGAAAATTTTCTGTGTGATTAATTTTTATTTATAATTTCTGGAAATTAGATGTAATATTGTGATTAATGCTGAAAATTCCATTCTGTATCACCAGTACTGTTTTTAGAATAAAGTAAATCATCATT